CTCCTCCGCACTTGAAAAGGTCATAATCTGATAGTGGGATTGTTTTTTCTAATAATTCCAAACTCAATGTATGACTATCTAGAAGTATTCAGACTGTAATCTTATTTGACGGACAAGAAAATTGAACAAACAGTTCAAACCAACGAACTAATATACTTTTTTGCATTCGACCAGATTATTGGTAAGAAGCCATACTCACTAATAACAATCTTTATTATTACCCATCACATGCTTGGAAAATAGTAGAACTTTGGATCACAAGCATATAAGGATAATAAGGGTGAAGTTAAACTCGGAAACAGGCAATACTACTCTGTTGCTCTTCCACTCAACCCGAAAAATACCTTCCTATACCAAACAAAATCGAATAAACTAAATACACCCCGATACGAATATTATTTATATTCTCTAACTCTTCATGTCGACTTATTTCAAAACCCAAGTAATAAATGGAAACAGTGGTATTGAAAAAATGTCGGATACTTACCCTGTTTTGCCATATCAACGCATACCCCATTTTTTCCAGACGCTCTCTTAAAGAATAATGACATTTTCAAGTTCAACTTTTTGAAAATATTGGCTTACAGTCGTTTATAGACGTATCATTCTCATTTTCGAGTACTATATGAAGAATTTTGAAAACACATATAATGATCAATTAAGTTAGACGAGGTGCAATGAGATTATTTTTTTTTTGTATTATTGCCTAATCTGTCAGCTTCATGTCAATCATTTTTCATCTGAAGGTACAATTATTTTGATACAATACAAACCGAGAAAAAATCAGTTTCACCAAAGCCACCAACACGGTTGATGGTATCAGAGTACAGCCAACAGGAATCCCTGACTATAGGAAAATGATGGCTCTACTAGAGAAAATGAAAATCCCTCACCATACGTTCAGTATGGCGGAGGATAAACCACTAAGAGTGATCTTCCGCGGTGTCCCAGAATTCCTAGACATCAAGGATATTGAAGCAGAACTCTACGCGAGAGGTTTCGACATCCTGGCTATATCCAGGATGAAAAATGCGGACAGCAAAGAGCTACCGTTGGTCCTGGTTTTGGTTCCCAAAACACAAGGACATATATACAACGTAGGAGACATCCTCAACATAAGAGAACGAACAGAGACTCAGCGACCAAGAACTACGGTAGGCCAGTGCTACCGTTGCCAGAGATTCGGTAACACACAGCGGAACTGCAAGGCAATTCCGATCTGTGTAAAATGCGCCGGACGTCACTTAACGGCCGAGTGCAAGCGAGACAAGCAGTTGCCTGCGAAATGCAACAACTGTAAAGGAGCTCACCCCGCCAGCTATCGAGGTTGTCCTGCATTCCCCAGAATACAGGACATGAGAAGACACTCAGAACCAACAGCCCCCCCGATGACAGACGGTACCCGCAAGGCAACCTGTCGCCCCCCAGAGGCAGCCAATACCAGCCCCAAGGAGGCCCATTGGGGCCAACGCGACCAGGAGCGGCGTCTCCTATGCAAATGCAGCTCAAGGCGCAAACAGCCGTCAGCAAAGTGCAAATGTAAACGCAGTCGAAGGCCTAGTAACGGCCCTAGACCAGCTAAAAACTCTGATGACGCAGTTTCCCGCGCTACATATGATGTTCGCGGCAAACCCCCCCCTCCGCAGCCAACAGGAACTAAATGGCTAGACGCCACATAGTCCCAGAATCCCTGAAGATTGTCACCTGGAACGCCAACGGGCTACTCAGGAAGAAACTCGAAGTAGAGAACTTCCTGACAGAAAACGACGTAGATGTCATGCTCCTGCAAGAGACGCACTTGCAAGGAAACACGATATCGATTCCGAACTAAGTCTTTTATAAAAAAGACAGAGTCGGTAGACGCGGAGGTGGGGTGGCCATCCTCACAAAAAGATCGATCAGACAGAGGATGCGCTAAATCGTTTAGAAGCTATAGGCATCGAAGTAAACCTTCAAAGAGGGCCACACCGAATTATAACGGTATACAATCCCCCCAACAACCGAATACAGCCGGAAGCAGTGCTCTCCTGCTAGAAACAGACACCGCGACGATAGCTGCAGGAGATTTCAATGAGAAACACACGCAGTGGAGCAGAACTGCAAATATGAATGGCAGAGCGCTTTACGCTCACGCCGACGAACACGGTTATCAGGTTTTGGGACCGCCACAACCTACCAACTGCCACACAGACCCGATGTTCTTGACATAGCAGTTGTCAGGAACATCACGCTCAACTGGGATATATATGTGACCTCTAAGCTAGACTCAGATCACAACCCAGTGACACTGATTCTAGGGGAAGGCCCCCCAATAGAAAACAATAGCGAAGGAACCAGGACCAACTGGGAAGCTCTCAAATCGTATTTAGAAGCAATCCCCGTCATAGAACGACCTCCGGACACCCCCGAAGCCTTAGATGCTACGGTAACATGGTTTGAGGAAAACATCAGAAATGCACTCGCAGCGGTTACCACGACGTACGTGGAACCATGGAAATCATACAACGAATTTCCTCGACGGATCAAAACTCCAATTAGAGAAAGAAACCGTCTCAGAAGAAGATACCACAGTACTCTATCTCCAGGAGATAGAGCCAATGCGAATGCGAAAGCCAGGGATGTAAAACGCGCCATTCTAGACTTCAGGAATGAACGCTGGCAAGAATACCTCTTGAGACTCGAGCCCGGAGATAACTCTCTCTGGCGATTAGTCAAGAGCAGAAAAAACAAAAGAGAAGCCCCAACGCCAATACACGGCCAACGAGGTGCCTGTTTCAAAACGGAAGACAAAGCCTTAGCCTTCGCGGATACTATGGAAAGCCAATTTAGGCTGAACATAGATCCAAACGATGATATCGATAGAGATATACGAATCGAGGAAGCAGTGGAAGAAACACTGTTACTCAATGACGAAGACGTCATCAGACCAGTATCAGAAGAAGAACTGAACGGACTGATTCGCGCCACCAAGCTCAAAAAAGCCCCAGGAGCTGACACAATAACCAACAGATTATTGAAGCAGCTGCCAGACAACCAAAAAAAACGACGCTCAAAAACATTATTAACAGCTCGCTGAATCTCAGATACTTTCCTAAGAGCTGGAAGCACGCTGAGATTATAATGTTACCAAAAAAAGGACAAGACCCGAAATTCCCCCAAAACTACAGACACATAAGTCTGTTAGGCTCCATGGCCAAGGTCGCGGAGAGAGTAGTCCTGCAAAGGTTGGACGAGGAGATCGAAGTCAGACAACTCCTACCGGACGAGCAGTTCGGCTTCAGGAGAGATCATTCCTGCGAACTACAAGCCCTAAGACCGGTTGAAAACTCAATCCAAGAGATGAATAGGAAAAGACACGTTCAAATACTACTATTAGACATCTCAAAGGCCTTCGACCGCGTCTGGCACGAAGGTCTTCTACACAAAATGATTGATTTCAACCTACCACTGGGACTAGTCAAGTGGATAGGGTCCTACCTGAAGAATTGAACTTTTTCGGTGAAGCTTAACAACATACGCTCGCCGGTAAGACAAATAGAAGCTGGAGTGCCTCTGGCAGCAGAACTCTCACCCACACTCTACAACCTATATGTCAGCGATCTCCCGAGAACCGACCACGTCAAGGTCTCTCTCTATGCAGATGACACCGCCCTGATGTCCTCGTCCATGGCGTGTGAATTCGGGGTAGCCTACATGCAGACTGCAGTTGCAGCTCTCGAGACCTGGTTTCTGGATTGGAAAATCCGTGTGAACCCAGCAAAAACGCAAGCAATAGCATTAGGTAGGCAAAGCGCCCACCCAAATCTCAGAGTTATCATGGCAGGACAAGAAATCGCCTGGAGCTCACAGGTTAAGTACGTAGGTCTAACGATAGACCGCAAGCTTACCTGGGAAAAGCATATACAATCGGTGAAGACTAAAGTGAGCGCGGGGATGGCACAGCTATATCCCCTACTCAACCGCAAGAGCAAGCTAAGTCTTAAAAACAAAGTCTTACTTTATAAGACTGTGTTTAAACCAATGATTATGTATGCCTCAGGAGTCTGGGGACACACAGCGAAAACTCACGTCGAAATTCTGGAACGGGTCCAGAATAAAATACTAAGGATGGCAACAAACGCTCCGTGGTATGTACGGAACGCAAACATCAGACGGGATCTGAAACTCCCAACCATTCGGGAGAGTATACAGACTCGAAATAGAGGAGTTTTCGAAATGGCGGAAACTCACGAAAACACCCTAGTCAGGGCCGTGGTAGATTATGATATCGACGACCCTTCCCGCTTCAAAAGGCCTCGCATCTCCGCGAGGTGAGGTCATTGGCTAGTAACCTCAGGAAGCTACGAATTGAACAGAGTTCAACAAAGAACACGGCGGCGAGAACTTAGTCTCGACCGTGTAGCACCTGTCAGAGTTTTAACTGAGCCTATATCACAGGCAGAGAGCACGAAAGAGTCAGGGATATGAAATCCAACTCGATTTAGCAGAAGATAGGGATTGCCGCTCATTTTGTCTTCAATCGAGGACCGCTTGCCCGGTACTGACGATGCCCAATAGGCTGAAACAGCTGTCTACCGGTGGCTTTTAAATTGAAATCAATATGGGAATGATCAAAAAGTACTTATCTATTTATTTTTTGATTTTCAAGGAATTATTTTCCAGCAGCTTGACTGCATTAACCTATAACATATATATAGCCATTAACATATATATATATTTCTCAACAATTACTTTGATCACTTCTTTGATAGTGTCATTAAAATTTTCAAATATTTTTAATATCTCATCATTCCTTTAAGAATTCTTTTTTTTTACTATATGAATTTAGAATTCACCAAATTTTTGAAGGTTTTCATTGAGGATTATTTTCAATCTTGTTGTATTGTTTCATTTTTCTTCATCAAATTTTATGGTTAGTCGTCCCTTTATAGTGTGGTCACCATTATTATTTAGATGTTTTAATACGTATCTCATCAATAAATTCAACTATTCTTTTTCAGAAACAATCTCCAATTTTACTGACGACATAACGAACTCAGTGGCGATACTTAAACAAGGCCACGTGTTGATCAACGAATTTTGGCAAAACCAAGTCGGCGATTTTGAACTGGATACTTCTCGTTTTCCTACGTTAGAAAAAACTATGGAGATGTTGACCAGAAGAGGATTCAGAGTGGTTTTCACCATACAACCTTTCATATCAACGGAAAGCTTCAACTTTGCCGAAGCAGTACAGAAGCGATTGTTGGTTTCTGAAAGATTCAGCGATCGACTCATACCGGCGCTAACAAAGTATAAAACAGTTCAGAGCGCAGGCGTTCTCGATATCACCAATAACAGAACGATACCGTGGCTACTGGAAAAGTTGAAAAACGTCAGAAAGAAATACAAGTTCGATGCGTATTACCTCGACATGGGCTTAGCTTACAACATGCCACATTATTATCAATGTGAGAGAGCATTGCGCAGTCCTGACCAATATAAAAGTTTCTTCATCAACAGTCTTCAAGGTTCAGTTCCAATTTTTGGGGTTAATAGTGCTGTAGAGAGACCGAAGTCGCCAGCTTTTGTCGTTTTACCACAGTTCGAATCATCTTGGGATGGTCTAAGAAAAGTTATACCAACTATTCTCACTTATGGAATTCTTGGTTACCCATTTCTTATCCCAGGTGCTGTGGGAGGGGACTATGATGGACCTGAAACTACTATTGACACTAATGGGACAGGAAGATCACTTCCAGATGAAGAGTTATACATAAGGTGGCTGCAACTTGCTGCTTTTTTGCCTGTTGTGAGATATCACCATTTACCCAGCAGCTACGGTGAGGAAACCATCTCAGAAATAGCAAAAAATCTTGCTCTCACTAGACAGAATAAGGTAGATGAGTAATACTGAGTACATGAATAATTTCATCGCGAAATGCCTTTATTGTAGGTTACTCCAAAATTGAAAAAGTTTGCTAGGGTATCTTTGAACCTGGGATTGCCCATAATCAGACCTCTGTGGATGTTAGACGCTGAGGATCCCAATTGCCATCTTGCAGTAGATGAGTTCTCCATTGGAGATGAGATAATTGTAGCTCCTGTTCTGTCTTCTGGCTTCAGAGAACGAGAAGTGAGTTGAGAATAAGATCAAATCATACGAAATACATAATCTTTGTATTCACGATTATAGTTATAATTAGGGCGCTGAATCTGAATATGACATCAGTTCTCTTTCTGTACCACTATCGTTCAGAGAATAAATCCGCCTCTATCATTCAACATTACGAAATCACCGCCTAGTCACTAGCCAGCCTACTGACAGAAAAATAAACGAATACAATGTAAATAATAAAAATAAATTCATTTATGATTAAGTACAATTGGAAATCAATTACAAAATGTTATCCATAGATGAAAGTCTTTGTGGAACAGTAAAAAGTACTACGAAAACATACAAAATATTGGAAAAATGGTTATAATTCGAAATGGTACTCATTGAGAGTCTTCAGATCCAGTCGAATTTTACTGTAAATTTTGTTCCTTGAACTTGAATTTTTTTCATTGAAGTCTTTGCCAGTGTTGTTCTCATGTGGCTCTGGGATCTTGTTCATAGATGTCACTTTCATATGCAATTTGCAAATTTGAAGGTTCATTCGAGCCATTGCAGCTATAAATGAAAGAACAAACTTGACATATCTATATATGAATGTGTCCTTTCAATACATTCGACACCTCTCAATATTCCTCAAAGCGTACGACAACATTGATGTATGTCTCATCAATACTGTGAGGCGGAAATTAGTATATTATGCAACGATCATGTAATGATGGTTATTAAGACACGAGCATTAACCGGGATACGAAACGAGCCGAAGGCGAGTTTTGTATGGTTTATGCGTGTGTATTAATAACCATTACATGAGAGTTGCATACGCTATTTTTTCTAAACCCGATAAATAATGAAAAACTATAAATATTATATTTGTATTGAACACATTTACAGTAATTAACTCATATTTAAAAAAAAAACACAAACTTAATGGTGTTATCATGGATATATGAAAACTATAAAGATTCTAATTATATTTATATTGAATATAACAAATGTAATTAATCTGATCTTTTATAAAAATATTAAGGTTATTTATTGTGCAATTTGAAAAGTTTATTCCAGGTACCACTGATTTGGAAGTGGAAGGAATATTTACATTTATCTCATTGTTGTTACTCTCAATCAATAGAGTTCAATATTGTATTGGAAATGCTGATTTTATTTTGAAGCGAATTTTCAATGTAGCCTTCTGCCACTGAATTGGATTTCCAGCCACCATGAAGTTTTAATGCAGTAATATCGCGTCCGGCATCAACTAATACGGTTGCAGATGTTCTTCGAAAACAATGACCTGTAGATAAATTCGGATCAGGCAGATTTAAATACGTTGCTATTTTCTTCCCTAAATTTACAAATTTATTAATACCTATGTTTTGAATTGTGCATTTACCATTAAAATAATTAACGAAAAAAGAAGGGGTGGGCAAAATTTCGGCCGTATATTCATATATTTTTTACTAATTTCGTAATATTTGCCGGTAATTGTGAATGTTCTTTGTACTTTTGTTTTAGTTTCTACCACATTAACAATTAAGATTCCATTCATATCTTTGACATTTTCACATTTAAGGTCATATAGTTCATGCCTTCGACATGCTCCCATTATTCCAAAAATCGTTGCTACCTAAAATAATTATAAAATAAAGAAAGAAATGAAAAAAAATGACAATAAAAAGATTCGAACCGGCGTCTTGCAAAGCCGTCAAGATCGAAGTCAACTCCTTAGCTCGCTACGCCACGAGGTACCTTAATAAGTTTTGCGAAATTAATAAAATATATCATGCATATGTCAAATAGAAAAAGTAATTATGAGAAAATATGTATTTAAAAATATAATGTTAGGTAGATATGTACTTACTTTTATAAATAAGTATATTTCATCGGGTGCTTCGTCGATAAACGTTTTTAATTGTTCAGGTGAAAATATTTTTGATTTTTTTCCAACATATCCTTCGGACTTTCGCTTTAATAAAGCTTGTAGCTTCTTATATTTTGAAATGTCTATATTATGGCTGATGTTTATCAACGATTTTATTATTGAGTAATGTGTCCATATACTAGATGATTTCATAGTTTCCATCAATTCTTGAAAATAGGCAATCAAAACATTTTCCGAGAATGTCGAAATATTATTTGTATTTCTCCAGTCCATAAACCGTTGATATAGTTTTTCATACACTTTCTTAGATTTTTGGGGTAAAAGATTTTTTGTTGCATTTTCTGCTTTCTCCGATATGTGTGGAGGAGTCGATGGTATTCCTTCTATATCGCTGTTTTCAGACATTTTGATAATATAGGTAGGTTATATGAAAACTGATTTTGACAAATAAAGCAATTAGTTACTTAGGTTAGAATCTAGGACAAACAAAGGAACAGGATTCTTGATTGAAAAATTATGGGTTTCTATTGGTTGATAATCTGTATCGTTATGAAAAATCTGTATCATAATGGATATCATTATGAAACGGATTATGGTCATATAAGTGTATTGTTAGAGTACGGGTGTAGAAAATAGTAATATTGGCAGTCAGCATGCCGTGTTATAATGGTCAGTATAGACTGAAGTCGTACATATTGTCGCCATGCGATTATGGTGGACTAAGGTGTTGAAGATACACCACTCTGAGAGGCTTATTGTATCTCTTGACCACTGCTTCTTTATTATTATCAATTCCCGTTTTAGGAATCTTTCGCTGTGAGGTGAAACTTCGGTAGTTCTCAGCTTGAACAAGTTTATACTTTTGAGGGTGGGCTATCGTAAGGTGCGACAGCTGGCTAACGAATTTTCTTGAATTTAGGGACCAGATTTTGAAAAAAAAATGTATTTTCTGAATATTACACAGCTGTTATTGATGCATTCCCCGGTTTGTTCACCAGATCTTTACAAAAATACTCCAATTTTTCTCTCAAACTTCAGCAAATTTCAAAATTCCCTTTATATTTAATCGGAGTTCAGAGGCATATCGCTTGGCAATAATGGCAAATAATGAAAAAATAAAAAATATTTGTTTTACGATTAAAACACAAAATTCCCCAAAACTCGCCCGAACAAAGTTTTGGTGATCTAAAATTTTGGGTTTCAACTGAAAAAACCAATGCGCCACGGGATTCAATGAAGTCGCCCCGGTGTGCCAATTAATATTTGTTGCTTCATAATTGCATGAATTGTGTTACTTTCTTCTTTAAATGATGATAAAAATCTTACCATTTGAAAAAAACTCTAATATAAGAAAATCATACCAACATCAGAGTAATGCATAACGATCGTGAAAAGGGACTAATTATTTCAGAAGAAACTGATCTACAAAATCTTTTTCCCAGGTGTATCTTCCTGCTGGAGTTTGGAAAGACGGTATAGATGGGAGTTTGAGGAAGGGTAGTAGATGGATTCATGATTACCATGTAGAGAGAAACGAAGTTGCTTATTTTGAGCGAATGCCAGATGACACAAGATTTTAATATAGAAAATCAACGATAGTTATGTTCCTGACTTTCAGTTTTCTTCTGTGGTAGAATTTTGGGATGGATGAATTTCACTACACTTCAAGTGCACTAGATCGAAGAAGCTGTTAATCTAATATCAGCCAATATAATTGCTTTTACAACTCGTTAAAAAATTTGTAGGTCTTAAACTGAGGCACTTTATCATCAAAACTAAAATTCAACAAGTTTTTGATAATACATGAAAATACCAGAATTTCTGAAAAATTCATTTTTATTTTTTGAAGCACTTTCTTTTATGATACGATACATGTGTAGCTAAGTTTAGTCAAGATCTGAACGAATAAAAAAAATGGTTCCTCACATTGAATATACCTTATAACTTTTTAGACATGCGGTAACTTGCCTGAGGCTTTGATATCATCACTTCTACTCTAATTGTTCCTAGATGAAAGAGTTATCATCTTGTGTTTTTTTCAAGAAAGAACTCAATGTGGAATAAATGAGTCACGTGCCACAACAAATAGCAAGCAAGCTGGCAAGTTTCCGAATACGGTTTTTGTGTAGGTATTATGAAAACTGTATGTATAATTTGGAATATTTCTCAGTATCTTAGAAAGTGAAAAGTTTTTTTTCACATTCATCTTGGATAGACAGAATATTTTCACTATTTATGTATACTCCAATATGATTTGAAAGTGATGTTGACAATTCCATAGGAAAAATCTTTCTCCCCGTGAAAATAAAATTTACAGGTTTTTCCAATCTTTTATTAATTCACAATGGTGAAGACTGTGGGGGATAGAAGACAATCCCCCCCTACGAAGCCACCATTCATGGGACGGACAGAACTCAATCCTCAAATATCAAAAATGAACGTGGCTCCCCAAGGAGGTCAGTTGCAAAGCCAAGCTTCGACATCGACCGCCCCGCCGGCGAGATTCATCCTGCCTTTCACAGCAAGGCGACTAGGTTGAGCTCTAGTTTTCAAATGACAAATAAATTGAGGCTAGAACGTTTTTTGAATTATTATTGTCGTAATAAAAATATTTTGTTTTATTCCTGTAACTTCCAGAAAATGCAAAAATCTTGTAGTTATTATGATATATAATGGGATTCTCTAAATTTCGTTGAAAAAGTCTTGAAGCAATAAAATTGTGTACATTAAGTCTCCCATTCAAATGATAGTTCACACATATATTGTGATATTAAGATAATAAATTTGTAATATTCCTAATACTGTGATTTTATTTGTATTTCGAGTGTTGTAACTGAGAAGTTGAATGTTTTTCTGAAAATACTGAATGAAGTAAACATCATTTTTACAAAAAATAAATAATAGTTTATAAAACTAAAAAAAAACGCTTTAATAGCAACACAAACTAAAAAATAAAAAATAATTCGAAACTAATTTAAGATTGTGTTCAATTTCGATATATCCTTAACATTTTCTGTTCAGTTTGTATTCCAAAGCAAACATTCGTTATTGAATTGAATCAGATATCGTTCACAGGATTGCTACACAATATAGTAAATGAAATAGGTAAAATTTCACTTACATGTCATCCCGGCAAATGGGAGGCATCTGAATACGTTTTTTGCTATCATCTTTTATCTTTGTTGAATGGGTGGTTAGAATCGACCCATACTTATTGCACGCTATTCAAACTCCGTTTAGTTTGGTGAATACCTAGTAAATACTTATAGGAAGGCCCATTTCGGAAAAATCATCGAAACTTTTTCTATCCCTCTTCTAAAATCCATGACATTTTCAGTTTAGTAGGTCAGGTTGGATGTTGAGAAAAAAATGATTTTTCAAAGTTAAATATTCGAAAATACGTTCGTTTTCCAATTCGATTCGGTCAGGTTAGATATTGAGGAAAGATATTTTATTTATTTAAANTTTAGAATTCGGAGGTCAGGTTAGATATTGAGGAAAGATATTTTATTTATATTCCAAAATATGTTCCTTATTGGCACCTCGCGTGATAGTCCAACATAACGTAACCCGGCCTAATCTAACTTGACCTAACCTAACCCGACTTAACCTAACCTAATCCGACCGAACCTAACCCGACCTTACCTAACCTAAACTAATCTAACCCGACCTTAACTGACCTAACCCAACATAACCTAAGTCGACCTAACCTAACCTAACCCGACTTAACCCAACTCAACCTAATCTATCCCTACCTAATCCAACCTAACCTAACCGACCTAACCTAACTATAGAATTGTTGAAAAACTTTCTATCCTCAACATCTAACCTGATATCCGATGTCTGAAAGGAATGCATTTTCGAATATTTAATTTTGTAAAAACTATCTTTCCTCAACATCTAACCTGACCTTCGAATTATAAAAGGAACGTATTTTCGAATGTTTAACTTTGGAAAAAATATCTTTTTTCAATGTCCAACCTGACTTACTGAATTGAAAATATCATGTATTTTAGAAAAGGGATAGAAAAAGGTGCGATGATATGGATACATATGTGTTAATAAAAAATATGTGAATTGCAATCGTTTAGTGCAGGGGTCTCCAAACTTTGAAGCCTTCGGGCCATAATGATTTTTTGAGTTTGTTCCAAGGGCCAATTTCTGCCCTTAAATATATTTCTAGACTAGGATAGTCGCAAAGTGCGTGACCTAAGCAAACTTACGCTTTTTTTGCATTTCAATTATTATTGTGTATTGTGACACTTAACGACATCTAGTGGCGAGTAGTGGTACTATGTACTATCTTTTTCAGCTACCC